ATTACAGGTATAATAAAGTGTTTTTTATTTAGTATTAGCTGCAGTTATCCAGTCTAGTAAAAGATAAAATCATGAGATAAAGCAGATATATAAGATAATAAAGAGAGTTAAGCTGATCAATATCTTGGTTGTAAGATGTAGGCATTAAATTTTGGTTTTAAATTGAGGCTTTAACTTGTTTTATAATGTTGCTAAGTTTTTTAAAACATAAATATAATTTAGATGCTTTAAAAGAAAGGATGTGTTAAAAGTTGCAAACAGTGAATTTTTTGTTAGAAAATTATAAAAATGTTTTAAAAAACCTTTTATTTATAAAAAATAATAAAAATAATTTTTATTTTTTAAGATATATTTATTGAAACAAATGTTTTAAATATTTATAATTATAATGTACTATATAAAGATTAATTTTTATAGGTTGTTAGCAAAAAATTGTGATAGTAACTATAATACAATTGTGCTTATATAAAGGTAAAAATAATATAAAAAAGGTTGGTAAATTTATAAATATGACTATAATGAATTTGTGACTATATAGAAGGTGACTATAAAAAGGTTAAACTGTACAATAGCCATAAAGAGCAACTATAAGAAAAGTATACAACTAGTCATTTATACAACTTTAGTTATTGTCTAATTTAAATAGTTTGATTAAAAGTTTTATACTAGTTACTATATTTAGAACCTGTTTATAAGTTCTTTATTTAAATATTTTGGTTCTTATATTTATCACTTATCTACTCTACTAACTGCTTTAGTTTTTACTAATGCAAATATAAAATAGTTACTAAGTTTTTAAAACAATTTACTTAGATAAAAAACTTTTAATCTTGTACTAAACCTATTAAAGCCTTCTGTTATCTTAATTTTTAGCTAATCTGGTATTTTATTATACTTTTGTAGAGTTTATACAAACTTAGTATTTTTTTTACAATTTTATTGATATCTTATATATTCTTGCAAGTTCTTCTATATTACTAATCTAGTTAGCTCTATATAATGCAACTTTATGCTCAAATCAACTAGTAGTCAGATTGAAAAACCTTTTTTATTTAAAGATTCTTGTCTATACAAGTCATCTGCCTTAAATTTTCTTTGTTGAATCAAGATTTTTATAGATAATATCATCAAAGATTATATTATCTTTCTATTTAAAATTTTTAAACAAAACTTTTTATTACAGTTTATACTTTTTAAATTTATTTATATGATAATGCATATTTTAAAGTTAGTTTTGATGCAACTGAAATTACAAAGTTACTACTCTAGATTCTTTTTTAAGTTGCTAGTATTTAGCTTTTAATTACAGTTTATACTTTTTAGATTTATTTGTATAACATTATATATTTCAAAGTTAGTCTTAGTACAATTAAAATTACAAGATTATAATTTTAGATACTCTTTCTAAGTTGCTAAATTAGAAACATTTTTCAAAATTCTGCTATTGATAAGATTTGAACTTTGGAACTACTGCTTAGAGAATGACAACCCAATTATTATACTAAGATTGCTATTTTATTTTTTATTTTATTTATTATATACTTTAATATAACTATTAAATAACTAATGCTAAAAATGTAATAACTTAATAAAGTAAATAAGTTATCAACTTTTTAAATAACAGATTATAAGTTTAAAATATAACAAAATTTAGATTTTTTACTTGTATTATAGCAACTGTTTTTAACAATTAAGTTAAAATATTTATAATTATGAATATATCAGCATAATTGGCAAGTTATGAGATATTTGTGTAACTGGTTATACAGAGAAATGCAAATTAGCATTAGGTAGTATAAACTTAAAATAAGTTCTTGTAACTATGTAAATTTATAAAAATTAGATTACAAGAAGTTTATTTAAAAAAATTCAAATAAAGAAATAATATAGATCTTTGATAGCATTATTGTAAAGACTAAAATTAAAAAATAAATATTAATATAAAGTATTTAAAATAGACAAGAACCTTTGAATAAAAGGTACTAGACTGCCAAAATTTTAACTAAAAAAGCTAGAAAAAAAAGATATTAAGCTAATTCAATATACTAATAGACTAATTATAGTTTTATTAGACTATCTGAATTGAAAGTCTAAAAAAAATAAAGATATACTAAAGTACTAAAGATATACTATAAAGTAAGTACTAGGGTTTAAATAAACTTTACAAAAATATAGTAGTTTAATGATTAATTCTAACTATAAGTATTGGTTTAGTTATAATTATACTAAATTAGCTGTAAAATAGATATATAAAAGACTTTGAAAAGTTTATCTTAAAGATAAATTTATTTTAAAGTTAAGATAAGAATCTGAGCATAATTTATTAAAATTAATATAGAACAGGTTTAGAAAATTTAAAATAGAATATTTAAGCAAAAATGTTAAATATAACAATTAATAAGAAACTTTTAAATGAACTTTTTAAATAAGTAATATAAAAAAGTTATATACTGTATATAACTAATTGTATACTCTTTCTATAATAATTTTTTACAAAACTACATTACTCTAAAATGTATTAATAAAATTAAAAGATCTAAGAAGTAATCTTAATACTAAAAAAAAACTAATAACTAAATACTAATAAAATATAATATAAAATACAATAATAAATATATAATAACTAATAATAATAAAGATAATAATCTTAGTATAATGATTAAATAGTTATTTTTTAAAGATAAAGAGTAATATATTGAAATTATATATAAACTTAATGGTAAATTTTTTTATATTTAAATTTATAAAAAATTATATTAAGTAAACTAATATTAATTTATAAGAAAAGTTTGTAAAGCAGGTCTTTCTGATTTTAATAATAGTAAAATTATTAAATTTGATTAAAAACTTAGTAAGATATAACTTTTTAAAAATTAGATATAAAAATTTATTAATTAAATTAAGTTATAAAGTTACATAAATTAACTAATCAAATTTAGTACTCTTGTACTACCTAGAAAATTTTGACCTGTTCTAGAAAAACTTTGTGATATATATAAATATATATTTTTTAAATATAATAGTAGTTCAAAATTTTATCATAATAAATAAATTATTTGATTTATATTTTATAAAATTTTAATAAAAATTGGTTGTAATTTAAAAAAGTTTTATAAGTAGTATATTTTAATTTTATATAAAAATTTCAAAATACCATATAAAACTATGTAAAAATGATCTATGTACCCTTTATCCTTAAGCAGTAAGTTCAAGTTCAAATCCTATTAATAATAAAATTTTAAAAAATAAACTTATTCTGAAAACTTGATTGCATATCTGAAATTGTAATTTTGTAATTTTAGTTATACCAAGACTAATTTTAAAAGTATATAATAATACATAAATAAATCTGAAAAGTATATACTTTATAAAAAGCTCTGTTTAAAATCTTGAATAGAGAAATAATATAATTTTTGATATTATCATCTATGAAAATCTTGATTTGAAGAAGAAAACTTAAAACAAATAACCTATATAGACAAAAATCTTAAATAAAAAAAATTTACTAACCTAACTAATAATTGAACTAAATATAAAATTATATCATATAGAACTAACTAAATTAGTAGTATAAGAGAACTTGCAAAGATATACAAGATATTAGTAAGATTGTAAAGAAAAATATTAGGATTATATGAATTCTATAAAGATATAACAGTTTAAAAGTTACCTTAACTGCAAGTATTAGTCTTGACTATAATAAAATAATAGATTAGCTAAAAATTAAATAACAAAAATTTTTAGTAAGATTAGTACAAGATCAAAGATTTTTTATATAAGTAAACTGCTTTAAAAACTTAGTAATTATGATATATTTGCATTAATAAAAACTGAAACAATTGATAAAATAAGTAGATAAATAGATACAAAAACCAGAATGTTTAAATACAAAACTTACAAGTAGGTTCTAGATATATTAACTAATGTAAAACCTTCAAGTAAACTACTTAAATTAGACAATAACTAAAATTAAATAAGTAACTAGTTGTATACTCTTTTCATAGTTGCTCCTTATGGCTGTTGTAATATAATTACAAAGCTAAAACATACAATCAATAAAAACCTGGGTCACAAGTATTTACCTTAACATTAAAAAAATAAAAATAAAAATAACTACTAATATAATATGCTATGTTATACTATACTAATAATCTACTTGTAACAATAGTTTTAAAAATCTTAATAAAATACTAGCATAACTGCTTAAGGTTAAAAAAAAAATTACTAAGCATAAAAAACAATTACATATAAATGCAATTAAACTGCAAACTATATAATTAAGTACAAAAATTAAAAAACTATATTCAAAAATAAAAGCTTAAACATATTGATTTTTAATCTAATTTTATAAGTAAACTATTAAAAATATATACGCAATATTAGCACTACTAATATAATTTACTGTAACTATTAAAAATACTAAATATTATTTAAAATTCCAGATAAATTTGCTTGGAAAAAATAATATAATTACAGTAAAAATTAACAAAAAAATTATTAGCAAATTAAATTTTTACATTGAACCTATAACTAAATATATGAAACATTTTAATATTTATAAATATATTTTATTACAGGTTAACAAAAGTGTTTTTTATTCAATAATCAACTGTTTGTTCAATGACCAAACCGATTCTTAACTATCTGAAAATATGCAAATGTTTAAATGTTTCGTTTACAGCAAAGTTCGTGTAACGATTTATCAAAAAACAGACCCTAAAAGTTAGAATTAACCCCTAGATGATTGGATAAAACCAATTTTCTATCATAACAATAATACTGTAAAGAGTATGCTCACATGAGCTGGCCCGACAACCAACACTACAAGGAATTCATTGGTATTTGTATGTGGCTTTCTAACCTTTCCTTCCAAATTAAATATCAGTTTTACGAAGACTTTCATTGAATAACTTTATAAGAAACATAACGTCAAATAAGGGTATTCAACTTTTGATTTTTTTTTTTTCCCTTTAACACAGGAGATCCTCAGAATACCACCAATGGCTACTAAAGCTGCTTACAAGAGATTGACCAAAGAATACATGGCCGTCCAGAAGGTTAATGAGTTATATAATAGTTATTTGTATTAATTTTTTTTTTTTTTTTTTAATATTTAATTCGTTTTTTTATTTATTTTATTTTATGCATCCACTAGAATCCACCACCGTACATGATAGCAAAGCCGCTGGAAAAGAACATTCTTGAATGGTAATTATCAATATGAACCTAATCTTGGCTTAGATAGCATAACGTTTGAATTTTAGCTAGTACATTCTTTTCAATAAAATTAATCTTATGAGAAGGAAAAATGATAAAATTAATTTTCTGTTTATTTAGGCATTATGTTCTTCGAGGACCTCCTGAGACGCCTTATCACAATGGAGAGTACCATGGTAAGCATCGAGCAATTAAATTTCCTTACATTGTAAGTATTTCTAACATGTGCTTATATAAACTTTGTAAAAAAATTTTATAGGTGTTTTATTGTTCCCACCGGAGTATCCTTTCAAACCTCCTTCCATTCGTATGACGACACCTTCCGGTATTAAAAATTTGCAAATTTATGAATCAACCAGCAGTTAAAAATTTTAAGTAATCGCATTGATAATGTGTTGGTTCTTAGGACGATTCCAACCTGATACAAGATTGTGTTTATCTATGTCGGATTTTCATCCAAGTACTTGGAATCCTAGTTGGAGTGTTGCAACTATTTTGACTGGATTACTGAGTTTTATGGTGTGTATAATTTAATGTTATTAAAATTACATTCTTACGAGTTAATTTATCGCCAGACAAAATTTTTTTTATTGTAACGATTAGACCAGTAACGAAGCTACTACGGGGAGTATCAAAACAACAGATGCTGATAAAAAAATATACGCTGCACGTTCTCATCAATTCAATCTAAATGATCCAAAGTTTAGAGGTATGGATATAGAAAAAAAGTAATAATAAAAAAAAAGAAAAAAACAGTAAAATACAGGTTGTAGCAGTTTGGAATTTAAATAATTTAATCATAAATATTTTCTAATGACAATGATATTTAGAATATTTTCCAGAACTTTGCATACCTGAGGCAGTACCTGTTGAGATTCTTTATCCAATGTCATCATCATCTAGCAGCACATCCACGCAAACTTCTGCTGACACTACACAATCAGCAAACCACGTTCCTCCAGCACAGCAACGAAATGGCCACGGGACGGTCAACCAACGACTCATACCGGCAGCAAGAAATCAGAATTTACAGCGTAAAGTTCTTAATCGTGTTGAAAATCCTACTATACGCGGACTTACGGAGCATGCTAATAACACAGCAAGGGTCAATGCTAACAATCCGCAAACCAATAATAATAACAATAACGTAGGTCAGCGACGGATTTTGGATCAATGGCGTAAATGGATAATATTATCATTAGTATGTCTCTACCTTGTTATAGCAAAATTACTATACCGAACTGAATCTGTCTCTGGAAGTCATGGTGAAGCTCCTCGAATGTGATTTTTATCAAATCAATGTCAATTTAAATGATGAAAAATAAATTTACAGGTAAAAGGGAAAAAAACGACACTGGTGTTATTTGCTTAGTTTCTTTATATGCATTAAGGAGAAGTAGCTGTTTTCTCTGAAGTTCTGTAACGTTACTACGTTAGCGTTTAGTAAACAAGTTTGAAGTAGATTTCATATATGTTTGAGAATTTACATACTTGTATAACTATCTATATTAGTATATTAAAAGTATAAATTGTATGTTTTTTTCATTTTCATTAGTATTGCATTATTATTAGAAGAATATAGAACAACTGTATGCTCTTCGAATAAAGTTGAACTTATGATTTTTAAATAATCAAACTATACAATTCTTATGCCTGAAAAAAATCCTTTGGGATAGAGCCTTTATATCTAGAATTATAAAAAAATATGGACGAATTGTATGTAGATGTCACAAACCTTAAAACGAATTGTGATTATTTGCGATGAATGTTGATTATAATGATTATCGTTATAGGCATACTAATCTTATGATTGACAAGCAAAACATTATAATTGAGATTAATTATTATTATTATTATTAGGAAGCGGAAGACATTAAAATGGTCACGAAATAATTACCATATGATTTCAAAGTTACGATTCCAGAATGGTTATAAATGCTAATGCTAATCAAGCATTTATTAGACTTTGCAATATTCAAAAACATTTAAAGCAGTAAGGCCATGCAAAATTAATTAATTGGTTTTCATAACCCGGCCGGGTCAAATTTTGAAAAATTGTAAAAATTTTTTTATATGTTTGGGTTTTTAAAAAAAATTTTATAAAATTTTTATATATGAAATTCTTTAAAAAAAAGCCGGCTGTTTAAAAGTTTCATGTTATGAAAATCAAGATATTAAATTTGTGTGGCCTAATTTTTTTTTTTTTTTGAGCGAATGTATTAACAATGGAGCCTTTATTAGTTCATAAGGGAAGCAAATCAAGCGTGAGACCTCGTTATTACAAAACTCTACAATGCAAACATACCCCCACATAACGATAATTCAAAAGTTATTGTAATAAGCAAGTTCATGCGATAAACAGGTTTCTGTAGGTTTTGAAATTTGATCATAGGTCCAATCCTGTAAAGACCGGTTCAATCATGTTTATCGTTCTTATAAAAATGTATACGTATATGTATGTATTCTATTAACTATATAATGGTAATACAGTAAATATGCATATATTGTGTAGAATGCGTAATGGCGAAGAGAGAAAAAGAACCGTAATTGAAAAAATGAATTGCATACATTTTTAACTTTTTTACTCTTGAGGTCTAATACTTAACTGGTAAGAAGATGAACGAAAAGGCGTTGAAGGCGTTGGCCACAAAAATGAAAATCAAGGAATCACGTGCAATATGTTCAGAACTGCCCCACCTTACCCACCTTACTTGGTTAATAAATATTTTGAACTAAAGCAATGAGCCAATTAAATAATCTTATTAAACCCAGGTGTTAGAAATTTGAGTATCCACGCTAGATCCAAAATCGGATCAGTATTTCACAAAATTAATAACCTAACGGTGCGCTGAAAAACAAAACCAAAACCGGAAAATCATGTATCCATGGTTTCTGAGGTACGTATGCATGTGTATGTAGAATGAATTATGAATGCTAGAGAATATAATTTATTATACTGTTATTGATTTAACGTTAACTTCAAATAGTGTCTGTAGGGTTTTATTGTAAAATTTTATTATATATGAAACCTTCCTTGTAGTTCGGTTCTAATCATTAATTAGTTTTATAACAGTCAAGTATACAAGCCAGGTTAAGCCGACAGGTCCCTACTTGTAATCTAACTTTGTTATCTAATGTGGTTATACTGAATATTATTTGGTTGATAAGGTAAAGGTTATTTCTACTTATCGTAATGATCTAAACAATAATGATAAATGATAGTTTTTTATTGTATGCGTTTTTTATTTTTTATATATATACTGTATATACATTCATGTAATACATTCCCCTATTAATGTTTGTCATTTTTCCATATCAATACGTATGTTTGACAATTTCCAGTATAGTTCTGGGGTACAGAGACAACACTAGTTTTATTAACGTGCAGTTTTTTTTAATAAAGATTCAAACAATATCTTTCAGCATAAGTCTTGGATGCCCAGATTTGATTCTTGAATTAATTTTTTGTTTTATTTGGTAAAACGATTCTGCCTTAAATATTATAACAATAACTATTTTTAGGTTTTTTTTATGAACTATCTCTTGTTAATGTTTGATCAACATGCATGATTAATGTATATTCATGTATTACACAAATTGGTACTAAACTAAATCGTAATTTGATTTATGTAATTTATTCTAAATTAAAGTTGGTTCTATTTATATTTATATTAATATTTATCAGTTTTTTATTTTTCGTTGAGTTTTTAAAGTCTCCGTCTTTATAAATACACTCTTTTAACTGAACCATATAATAAAATATCTTTCTTTTTACATTATTCCTTTTTTTTCTTATTTTAATTCTACTATCCTGTAAGCCATCTATTTTAATGCCTAAAAAGAATTTTTCAAAAAAAATTTCACCCTCAAGTCAAAGGTTTTCGGCAAAACTTCGAAACGGTTACGTTTTTTGTTATTATGTTTCCGGACATGGTATGGGTTTTAAACGACTTCAGATCTCATAAGGTTCTTGTTATATAAAATATTTTATACGTCTCTACTTTGATAGAGTTACTAAAGGTTTTTTTCTTTGTTTTTTTTCTTTTGATTTTTCTCTTTATTTCTTTTTCCTTCTCAAGGCTTTGGACATGCAACAAGAGTCGTACAAGTAGCGTCCGAAATTCTTGCCCTCCCTCGTCGACACATTTTGTATATAGTTTCAAATGCACCTGAGTTCATCTTCCAAGGAGCGATAAACCTTGGTGCAAAATATAGATATGCACTTATAGATGCCGGTGTTAAACAACCTCGAGCATACACTGTTGATAGATATCAAACCATAGATGATCTGAAATTATTTCTTCAAAATAGACCAGATATGATCGTAAAAGAGGCCGAATGGCTGAAAAAAGTCAATGCTAATATAGTATTATCTGATGCTCCTTTCCTTCCTTGGTATGTTGAATTGTTTTTTTTTTTGCCTGCTTTCAATAAATGAATGCTACTTATATATGCTAATTTTATATGTTTTATGCTATTTTGCTATTCTAATATGTAGCGCTGCTGCTGCTTCAGCCGGGATTCCGTCAGCTATTGTTAGTAATTTTACATTTGACGCGGTATATAGTGGTTTGTGTGAAGGTGACGAACTAGACATTACTATAAGGAGACTCGCTGAACAAGTAAAAGATGATTATAAAAAATCCGAATTGTTAATTCGTCTACCTGGCTATATTCCAATACCATCATATTCCGGAACTCAACTTTATCCAGATTCAAATGTAACTAAACAAATTTTAAATGGTTGTGTTACATCAAATGGATCATCTGATCGAATTAGTAGACGCCGTAATGTTATTGATGTTCCTCTTGTTGTTCGAAAATTTAAAACGCCAAGAAATATTGTGCTTTCTAATCTTGGCATCTCAAAAGAAATATTCGACTCTCACAAAGTTCTGCTGGTATCTTTTGGTGGACAAAACTTGGTAGGAATAGAAGAATGGGGTTCTCCCTTACCTGATGATTGGATCGCTGTTGTTTGTGGTAATCCAGGAGCTGTTTTACCTGATCGATTTTATGCATGTGCCAAGGATGCGTATATCCCTGATTTAACAAATGCTGCAGACGTTGTAATGGGCAAATTGGTAATTCCTTTTTGCCATTTTTCTTTTTCGATATTATTGTAATATGTAATAATATTATTAAAAATGCACCTCATTATTTAACGATGCATTTATTTTTTTTAGGGTTATGGTACTTGTTCCGAATGTATTGGTCACGGAAAACCCTTTATTTATGTCCCACGGCCACAGTTTATTGAAGAATATGGACTACGTAGTTTAATGGAAACTCATGGTTTATGTGTAGAAATGTCAAAGGAGCATTTTGAAACAGGACAATGGAAAGAATATATATTAAAAGCTTACAACATGCGCGGTGTTTGTCAAAATACTGATAAAAAATTAACACATGATGGCGGTAAAGTAGTTGCTAAGTTAGTTGAACAATTTTTAGATGAACGTTTGGGTACTAATAAGAGGATTAGAAGATCTAATAGATTAGTATACGATAATGGAACAGTTTCGCAACCTTCATTATATTAATTTGGCTTTTTAATCGTATATTTATTATTAATTATTTTCTTGTAACGACTAATTTTCTGTTAATTTGCATTTACAAAATTATTACATAGACGTATTATCTTTAATTACTATTTTTAGATAATAATACTTTTAATTTTCTAAAAACAATAAATCATTCTTATACGTACGTCATTTTCGTATTTTTAATTAATAGCTCTTCTTTGTGTTGTGTCAAAAAGATTTTTCATTTTTAACTAAGCGTTTTGATTTATCACATATTAAGATTTTAGCTATTAAAAATTCTCCATGTCTAGGTTGAGATTGTGTTGATAATATATTTTAATTGGAATAAAAACTATATTTATAAATACTTTTTTGTAAATATATACAGTATGAATTTAAAAGTATCGTTCTGTATTTCGCGTTATTTGCGATCAAAAATGATTTGCAGTTTTTTTTAATTAATACAGACAAATTGCAAATAAAAGATCTAAATTATATAATATTCTTGAAATAAACTCTCATGTAATATACTGTATTTAATATTTTTGACCAATAAAATTAATAAACTAGGATAGGATTTTGCCTTATTATCTAATATCTGCCCTTACTAAAACAATATTTGGACTAAATTTTATAAAATCTAACATATTTTACTTTATAATGTTAAAAGTAGTATAAAATGAAATTTAAGACGTAATTTATTGGAAAACAGATATTTTTTTATGCCTTTTTAATATATTACTGCCTATTATATTGATTA